CTGTCACGGACGTTGGACAGACGCCCCTTTTTGCCGCCCATTCCCCTCCCCTTGACGCCCACCTTCCATTTTCGGACCATTTCCTTTCTTAGCCCATCCCAGTTTGGACACTGCAGATACGTTCCCACACCCGCATGCTACGTTCCCGTGATCGCCATGCCTTTGCCTTTTCCTTCCCGCCCTTTGTTCTCCCTTTGTCATCTTCACTGCCTCGCTCTCGCGCCTTGTCTTTGGTTGCTAAGCAGCCCTTCTAGTATATAAGGACCCCTTAGGCACTCCCTAGTCCCCATCTCGACCTCTTGGTCATTGGGACTAGGTGAGTGACCATAGCGTTGTATCTCCCTCCGATTGCTAATGTATAACTTGGTCATTGGGACTAGTCTGTCGCTGCCTGCGTGAAGACTAGCTTTCGTAGGTCTCGTGCCTTCGTGCCGACCTCCGCTCTGCCCTCGTCGAGTTTTCTGTCACGTTTATCCCTCTCCCTCTCTCTTTCCCCTTTCGGCTCCTTGCCGCTCGCCTACGGGGTCGTCGCCGAACATCGACCCGAGTCTACGCACCTAGTCGCCACGACAGTGGCAATCGGGCTGAGTATGGAACGTCTCTGGTAGGGCTTAGCCTCATTACCTTTAATCCATAACTGCAGCAACTGTGTCGCGGCGACTAGGCGCGTAGACTCGGGTCGACGTTCGGCGACGACCCCGTAGGCGAGCGGCGAGGAGCCGAAAGGGGAGAAGAGAGGGTGAGAGGGATAAACGTATCAGAAAACTCGACGGGGCAGAGCGGCGGTTGGCACGAAGGCACAAGACCGACGAAAGCTAGTCTTCATGCAACCAGCGACAGACTAGTCCCAATGACCAAGTTATACATTAGCAATCGAAGGGAGATACAACGCTATGGTCACTCACCTAGTCCCAATGACCAAGAGGTCGAGATGGGGACTAGGGAGCGCCTAAGAGAGTCCTTATATACTCGAGGGGCTGCTTAGCAACCAAAGACAAAGCGCGAGAGCGAGGCAGTGAAGATGACAAAGGAAGAACAAAGGGCGAGAAAGAAAAGGCAAGAGCATGATGATCACGGGAACGGAGCATGTGGCGGTGGGAAAGTATCTACAGTGTCCAAACTGGGATGGGCTAGGAAAGGAAATGGTCCGAAAATGGAAGGTGGGCGTCAAGGGGAGGGGAATGGGCGGCAATAAGGGGTGTCTGTCCAGCGTCCGTGACAAACTGGGAGATAGGGTGGCGTTTGTGAGACCAAGAACATTAGGAAAAACCCCCCGCGCTTTTTAGAACTAATTTAGCTATGTCGGCGCTATAATGACCATAAAGGGCATAATGGCCTACTAACGCGACATCAAGAATACAAACATCGGAGCTGACCTGGCTCTAGTATTCTAGATGCAAGATGACTTACACTAGGAGTTTCCTGGGACAAGGAGCATGAAATACAAGGTGTGAGGCCGTGCATGACCTCCGTATGCATCGGCACCTTCGAGCGCTATAGGCAGAGCCGCCGCGTCTCATCGTGATAGGGAGTTCAATAAATCAGCTTATATGTATTACGATCTGCAAAAGAATTGAGGTACAGTGTAGTACATTTGTCCAAGACGTTGTGAGAAGTGCCTTCACGGGGCGCAACAGGTCCAAAATGCGGTATCAGATGACAGCTACGCTCAATATCCTCGACAGGTATGATCACGGCTAGATGTTGACCCTGTCCGTTTGAAGCTGGAGAAATCTTGTACAGTCCATGGTCAATGCCCTTGGTATCTAGGTCAGTGAACAACTCTATATATGCTAAGTGTTGCGGGCGTTTGTCATGTGCTATGTGCGGGAACAAGTCCTGTAGACCGCGCTCTGGAATTTTGAAGACTATGCGCACGCGCGCAACTTTGAGCCCTAGCAATAGATATGAGTATGTACTGTAGGAAGTGTGTAAGGTTGCTCACATTGTGCCAAATCCTCACGAGGCTCATTAGATGCTGGGATGGGTACCTTGATTAGTGCAGTGTCGAATCGGCCAGGTAGCGTTGTTCCACGCCTTGTTGTGCGTGTCGCGGGGGCATGTACAACATCGCGGGTTTCTGTCCCAGGTGCTGCTAAGCCATCGGGGTCCACGATCCATAACTTGACCTTGTGATAGACCGGCAGAGTCTGAAATTGGAGGAATATACGCGAGGACTTGTATTCAACTTGCTGAACCGTCAACGCCGGGTTGGTGGTCTTGACAATGTAACGGGCAAGTGTGTCACGAAAGTAGCTCGCGCCGTACTCATACTGACGGAAAGTGTTCGAACACGTGACATAGGGCGCTCTCGTACTCATCATCGATGCATCCGTTCTACACCCCCCATTAGACAGAATACAGCGACATGATGTAGATATGTAGTATACATTACAGCACATTTACGAGTACTATCAAAATGGGGTATGGAGTCCTTTACGGGACTTGACAGCAGCAACACGGTCCTCCATCGTCCCGGCAACTGCCCAAATTTCCTCGATTGTTAACTCCTCCCACACGTGTTGTGCTGCCGCCCAAAGTTGTGTGAGGGAGTTGTGTGAACCTGGGATTTGTGCAACACGATCCTTCAGGATCTTCCAAACCAGCTCGATGGGATTCAGGTCTGGGGAATTGGGAGGGTGAGTGAGTGTGTGGATGTTGAGTCGTGCTCGAGCAGCTTTTGCGACCCGACTGGTGTGCGCTGGTGCCCCATCCTCGACAACAAGAACCTCCCTTCCCTTCTGCTTCTTCATATGCTCATAGAAGCCAAGAAGCGGACCTTCTAAGACTTGACGGACATACTGAGGACCCGTCAGCCCACCCTTCCCACGCTTTGGCTGCCCTCCCTCTGCTTCGTCCACCAGGTCCTGCCCAAGCTCCAGCTGTATGAGCGGTTCTTTTGCATCCTGTGCTATGCAGCCCCACAGCATGATTGACTTGCGGCCGCTCCGGAATGTGGGTTGGATGTTCTCTTGCAAGAACTCTTCACCTGCCTTCCTTGTGACATAGCGGCGACCGGGACGTTCCCCCAACTCCAGCCTGACCTCATCCGTCCAAATAACCACTCTCCAATCCCTTCCCTCATTCTCCCGAGCCCATGCTATGCGTTTTCGGACATTATTCTTGGTAAGGAAGGGCTTACGGTGCGCAACATGACGACGGTATCCGGCAGCATAGGCCACCTCTCGGACTTGCCGTCCAGTGACTTCTCCAACAAGGTCAGCAATGCCCGTATAGGGTGTTGTACGGTTCTTCTTGACCTCATGAAGGATGAGGCGTGTCTTCCGGTCTGTAAGAGTTGATGGGCAACCAGAGCGGGGCAGGGAATTTCGTGTATGATAGTTGCGGTCACGCTGGACCGTGTAAGTGACAGTCGAAGGTGCACAATTGCATTGCTTAGCAATCTCGTGACAGGAATAGCCCAGTGAATGTAGAATACATATAGCACCACGACGAGATGGAGAGAGCTCGCAGATCCCAGCAGGTGGCATGAGACAATGGCAGAAACACAGCGACGCGCACCCATCTTGCTGGCACATTACGTGATCGTGGGGGTGTTCGAACACTTTCCATCAGTATGAGTACTTGTTCGTGATATCCTCGAAGCTGACGCCCTTGACAGAGGCGTAGCGAGACATATGGATGTGTTTGTGCAACACATCTGCTGATGACTCGGGAATATCAACGACAGGAGGGAGCGGAGGTACATTGACAGAATCTTGCGGGACAGATGCGGTTCCTGTTGAAATCAAATTGAGCTGTTTCAAACGCCACTCGATATACTTCTCGTGTCGCAAGATCTTCTCCTTGAGCTCGAGCCAAACCGTCATCTGCGTGAGTTCGTCCTTCTTGTTTGTGGCGCGATATGCATCCTTAGCAAAGTCGATGTGTAGGCGTTCGGAATACTGGGTGTCGTAGTTGTCTGTTGTTCCGAAGAGCTCTATAGAGTGGCGATAGTGGTCGAGGGAATGGAGCTTGGGAAGCTCGAAGTGCGTGCGGATGCCGAGGTCAACGAAAATGCTCTTGTTCGCATGGAAGGCCTGGAGATGTTCTTCGAGGAGGTCAAGGGTCCTTGTGGTGTGAGTCGGATACTGAGCAAGATATAAGAAGTCAAGGAGAGCATGCGTGGCTCGCACAAGGCGAGCGGAGGAGAGACCGCCGGGCAGAGGAAGTCCAATCACAAGTCCGAGCAGAATCCGAGAGATGTCCTGGTGTTCTTTGCCAGTTTTGGCAAGATCTCCCGTACGCGAACATCTTCCTCTCCATTACCCCCGACATTCTTCATCAGCTCTACCAAGGTGTTGTTAAACACCTTCTCGCCTGGATCCACGACATCAGGAAAACGTCACGGACTTGTACAGGTACTTGGGGTACTTGGCCAAGTACCTCAAGTATCCCAAGTACCTCAAGTACCCCAAGTCCAATGGACTTGGCCAAGTCGGGTGGGTCGACTTGGCCAAGTACCAGGTACTTGGCCAAGTCCTCCAAGTCCCTGTTCAAGTTCATGCCCAAGTTCACTGTGAGATGTATTGAATAAAGATGATATGCATGGAAGTAAATCAAAGGACAGCTGCTCTTGATCAAGGTCAAGTGTACAATATTTGTTAGTGGGTGCAGCGGCGGCAAAAAAAATGCCACCACAGGGAATTGAACCAGCAACCTGCAATTTCAGTGTCCAACACAGTATGTTCAACCGCTACACTACACAAGCTCACACTATAGCACAGAATAGCAGCCATATATAGCGCTCTTTGCTGGACTCCGAGAAATTCTTCACCATCCTCTCCTGTACCATAGCAGAACTTGGACATCCACCACTGATACCACTATTCTTGAGCATTATCTGGATATTGTACCTCTGTATCACTACTGAAACAAGCACATTGTAACAACTTAAAGTCTTCTATCACATGTTATTGCCCTTCTTCTAATAGACTATAAAGCTGCTTCTACAGCCTTAAAACAGACTGGTTTACAACTAGTGTATGGATGTCTATGATAGATATTATTACATAAGAAGTATACAAGATGTGTGACTGATAGAACACCAATTGCTCAAATTGAGGCCTGAGTATACTGAAGTCAACATGTAAAGTCCAAGTTGTGGCCCAAGTACCCCAAGTACCCCAAGTATATAGACTTGGGTCAAGTCTGTGTACTTGGGACCAAGTACATGGACTTGAGGCCAAGTACACGGACTTGAGTCCAAGTACATGAACTTGGGCCCAAGTATGGGTCCAAGTCCGTGACGTTTTCCTGATGGAGGCGTATGGTACTGAAGAGATTGACGCTCGCTGCCGCCGCATGCCTGTCAACCACAGCTTGCGACACTTTGCCAACGGTATCTCGCACATGTCTTGTGTTACGGATGGGAGATGGGCTTGATTCCAACCTCCCGACACGCACTTGCGAATGCGCGAGGACCTTCGTCAAGTGCAGCAAGGGTGTCGAGGACCTTTCCGAGGTCCCAGAGAGGCTGGGAGGGCTCATGGGAGGCACCGACCTCATGACGTCCGATGGTGCACTTCGGACACTCGCCCATCTTGCACCCGGTCACCAGGACCTGCTCGGGGTAATCTCCAACGTAGGTCGCAAGAATAGGATGTCCACGACGAATGAGACTATCCCCACTGACCAGCTCCATTCCGTTCACTCCTGCGGAGGTGAGAGGCGCCAAAATTCGTGTCATGCAGGTGTGGAATAGGTTGGCTAAGGTACGGCGGCGCGTGGCCTTATTCTTGATATGGAGAAGACGGGACGTAGGGAGGTACGCAAGCAAAATTTGGCCGCGACCCGATGGTTTGCAGCGAATGTCCTTGGGTAAATTGCCAAGTGTCATGTAGACGGGGTAAGCGGTTTTGTTTCCGAAGGTGGTCAGCTGGGTTTTGTCTGATGAGATAATTACGGGGACGACTGTGGCACCGGGTTTCTCTTGTTCAAGTTGCTTCTATACAATGTGATATTAACAGTTATTGCGGGAGCAGTACACGGTAATCCACGACAACTTACCTGCGTCGACCACCACCACTTGCCAGTGTTCATGTCAAAATAAACTCGGATGGTCTTGTCTGCATCTGCATAGTGCCGCTCCGGCACAAGCAATAGAATAGGCGCGAACTCCGGATCTGAGAAGAGAGATTCGATGCAGGCTAAAACATCGCGGAAGAAGACTTCGAACGCCTCTCCGGCGACAACAATCTCGTGCCTCTGGAACCGCGGGCGTGCGGGAGGGAGATGGGTGTCGACAAGCTTATTGAGCTTGCGCCAAGTATTGAAGGACAGCGCAAGACGTTCTGCCACCTGGGAAGGAGTTTTGTGAGATCAGATGCATTCACTAGCATATCAAAGGCACTGGCAGCACATGAGGAGGAAGTACAGGAAAGCCCTTGAGGGTTTATCTCTGCTATGGCTGGCCCGCTCGAAGACGTGACCGTGCACTACGATGGCTGGGATCCGGGTCACTGTAAGGGAGGTTCCCAAGTGCTCCAGGGACAGCGATGGCACCAAGGCCTTCCAGCAGTGTTGAACAGGCGCTGGTTTACACAGCTTGCCTAACACAGCCATCACAAGATATGGAACGGCACAGCCGGTTACTGCAATAACCGAGGCTGTACTACTCATATGGTACACACATAGCTTCGCTGTGTACGCACTGCTTCTCTGTGCGACTGTGCATCCTGGGAATGTACTGTATAGTACTACGTAGCCACAGATGTACAGTAGTATATATAGAGGACCTCTGTACCCCCAATCTACAGTTCAGTTCACTCGAACATCTCCTCTCATCGCTCTAACAAGCCTCTTACAACCAACAACCCTTCTAGGTGAGTTGCAGGCTATCCGCTGTCGTTGCCACCTGTGGGAGAGGCCTTCGCCCCCCGGGTTCAACAAGCAGTACAACAAGTGTTTGGTTGTCGGAAGAGCTCACAACGAAGAAAAAGTCAAACGTACCCCCTCGATGGCTAGAAGTTCGTCTAGCGCTGTTGACCCTGGGCCTCGCAACTTCCCCCATCGTCCAACCTTCCAGTCCCGCTCTGATGTGAAAGAATAATAGATGTTTGCCTCAGCCAAACTACTCTCTGGGCTGAGTGCGTTCGCATACAAGGTATATGCTGGAGAGGAAGGAGTTGCGTCGAGAATAGGAGCGCCAGCGTCGGCAGATGGAAACTTGACGATGAACGTCTTCCAACAAGCAGTCTTCTCAACTGAGGCGCGTTGAGCAGTGGTTGGGAGCATGGGACCAGAAGCGTCAGGCATGGTGGGCTCTTGTGGTGCAAATTCAGCAGCAGTACTCGGAGAGGGGGGAGAATCCTGAGGGCGAGGAGGGGGCTCCCAAGGTTCTTGCGGCAGGTCGAGCAAGTCGTCCTCTTCATCCTCGGACGACTCCGAGGTAGGAGACCCCGGAGGGGCACCAGAGGAATCAGCGAAAAAGTCGTAGGGGTAGTCTCCATAGTAGTCCCCTTCGAAGGGGATGGGCTCATCTTCTAGGTCGCAAGCTTCGAGCGACGGCGGAAGTGCCGGTACCGGATCGACGTCGATCTCCTCCGGATTCTGGTCGACCGATGGGGGAAAAACACTGGCAAGAGTCGTGATGGATAGGGCTGCGTTGCGGAGGTTTTGGAAGGCTATACAATCTGTTTGGTGGGTCTGCCCTAAGTGTTTGGTGAGACCCGACAGTGAAAAGACCTTCTGACATCCTCCACACCGTCTGGGGTCGTTCGAGGCCTGTAGAGTTGCCTGAGAAGAGCCTGCGACAGGCCGAGAAAAAAGGTGCATGTGCAGAGTCTGAAAGAGAGGAGAACAATTGGATTGGGAGGTCAGAAGCAGGAAACCAGTACAAACTTGAACGAGGATTACTAACAGAGATGTAGTCCCTATTAGAATACGATCGGTGCGGGTTATCGGCTCTTGAATGTGGTGGCTAGCCAGACTACAAAAGCAGCCAATCCGCGCGCTCATGCTTGATCGGGGCTGGGTCTACTGTACCAGCCAACATTAGGCTCCAACGTGGCACAACTACCATCATCACCCCTCTTACCTCTTCCATCTTCTTCGACTCATACTGCAATATCCTATCCTCCCGATTCTACATCCACATTCCTTAGTGTCTATTCATCCTTTTTACTCTAATTTGCGGAGCACCGCCCTTCCTGCGGCTCGTCGCTGGCAGAGCCATGTCAACACGACGTACTCGCTCTGGTAACGGCGACCAGAAACAACACGGCCACTCACAGCAACCCGCCATTGAAGGCTCCGCTTGCACTGCCCAGCAGCCGACCATCTCAGACATGCCGTCGAAGCATCTGAAAGGTGGAGAAGCCTCGACAAAGGCTTCCGTCGCGGCTGTCTCCGGTCACTTCTCACAACACCCTGTCAATGTAGCCAATACGAGTAAGCCAGACGCAAATTCCATTTCATATGTCACTGTACTTACTCACATATATCCGACTGTCAGGCCTAGGTGTGGGACTCCCTGAAGACTCAGCTCTTCCAGCGCCGCCATCTGCCGGTCGTCGTAAGTCGAAATCGAACACTCCTCTGCCAGGCCAAGGTACGTATCGCTCTGAATATCACCTACAATGGTAGAACAATCTTCTAAGAGACCTAACAGCCGCCGGAGATGCTCACAGCAAACGCAAGCGCACCGGCTCCGATTCTGTGGGAGCTGACGCCGTCTCCCAGGCGAAGTCCAAGAAAGGCAAGAAACCAGCTGCCAAAGATTTGTCTTGTGAGTCCTTGTTTGTTCGCAGCACATCAAGAAAAACGACGGGCTCTTGAGGGAGACGCAGACGCACCACGTTGCTCAATAAGATCCAGAGCAGATGCACCTCTCCGTGTGGAAGTGCTCCCTCGCGCAGACCTCTCCAAGGTTCATGACGCTCATAGACCCACGTTGAGGGTGAGAATCCGCTTCTCACGCTTGTCGCACGGGACGGTCGGGATGCTGTAGCCCTTGGTGGTGACCGAGTGTGCCTTGAGGCATTTTGGCTTCGTGTGTCGCTAGATGTCTGAGGGTCCTGCGCAGGCAGGTGACGACGCCCACAGTGTCATGTGCACTGTCTGCGATTGCGCATGGGCGCATGGGGTGGGCTTTGTGCTTCTACAAATGCGGAAGATCCTGAGGAGAGACGCGGCTATAATAACCCTGCAGCGAAAGGACAGGCGAGAGCGATGTGGAGCGTCAGCGTATATGACCATGATGGGGAGTGCCTGCAACTCGGAGCTGAGCGCCAGAATGAGGTGCGGGAGGTATAGACGATGAACCTGGAGACCTGGACCCTTCTCTGTCGTCCACAGGACCCTGGGCATAATTGAGAGCACTACTCGAGTCCATGAAGGGGAAAACGGGGCTGAACCAAGGCAACTCACATATGCGGTGGCGGTGCGATGCGTACGTGAGAGGAGCGCCAAAGTCCTTGCTCGTGGAGGGTACAACGTGTTCGGACCATTGCTCATCAGACGTTTGTAGCGGTCGGTGCTGCGAATCCTCCTAGTAAGCGTGCGCAGGCCAAGAAACTGTCAGCCTCGACTGGGGGCCGCCCAAGCAAGAAAAAAGGTGCAGCTTCAAAGCCAGGTCAGCATTGCATCACTTAATCTATTGTATCACCGATGCCTTTCTAACCATGTTGCGGGCCCCATAACAGCTTCCGGTCTTACCAGAACTCATAGCGAGGTATCTGAACAAGTTAGAGAGAGCGAAATTGTACCCCCAAAGGCCCTTACTCCACAGGTTCGCAAACGCGACGGTGCACCCAAAACTAATGCTAGTGAGTTACAACAGAATATATATCGCAAGAATGACCTCCTTACCTATACACACAACAGACACTTCACAGGTGGTTGCGCGGAACACTCGCAGCGCTGCGAGGTCAACCCAGAAGACCGCGTTGCCTAAAAACGAGTCACAAGTCGAGGCTGACGAGGATTGGGAGGCCGGTCTGAGTGCCTCAGACGAAGGCCAGCACCCCAATAGTCCGAGTGCCTCTGAGTTCGAGGACCTATCCGCGTCCGGCGACAACCTCAATCTTGAAGGGGATGGCCAGCAACTTGCCGCTACCCTCGAGGCTGAGGTAAGTATTTTTTGGCTTGTCAATGGGAAGTACTCACTAGCGTTGTCCTAGCGTGCAATGTGGAATGATGGTTCAGAATTGGTAGCAACTGCACTGAAGGGCAAGGGTAAGGCCCCCGAGCCCCGTCCCACCTGTGGCGCCCCGATCGCGGGGAAGACGTACCAGCTACAGCTTGACGATTTTGAATCGTCTTCAGAATCCGAGCTGGAGCCCGATCGTCCTGGCTGTGGTGGTGAGTCGGCCAGCGGAGACCTGCAAAATGGCGAAGGAGAACATGGTGGGGGTGAAGAAGGGTATGGGCATGCGCTGGCAGTCCAGAAGGGCAAACGCCGGGCGAACAAGGTTTGCGCCCACTATGCGGCATTTGAACCTTGTCGACATATTAATCATCTCCATCTCTTTCACAGGCTCATAGTGTTGTGCAGGGCCGGGCCGAGCTCAAAACCCCGGGCTAGGGCCCGGCTTTGGAGGGCTCAGGCTCACTGAACCCTCGAGCCGGGCCCTAGTGGTGGGCTCGGGCTGGGTCCGGGTCGGGTCGGGCTCAAACCCGGGCTTTAGGCCTATCACATATACATGAAGAATTAGCATTTGACACGTACCTCAGCTCATTTGTAGGCCTTGCTACACATGAAAGAAAGAGTAAGCAGCATGTCAATGGCCACTTTTGGCGAAGAGAAGATGGTACGAACCCTGTGAGCCGCAGTCCTGAATCAGGCAGGTCTAGCGCTCACCCGACCGGCCGTGTCCATCTGCACCAGGTCCGCCGAGAGGCATCACTGTCAAGCATTGTGAGTCGACCCTTACTTTTCACCGCCTTGACTTACCTTTTAGCATCTCGGACGGCTGTTCAAGGTCCTACGCGGTCAGATACAGAGGTCCTCCTCAAGCCCGGGCTTGAGGGCTGGGCTCGGGCTTGCAGACATTCAAGCCGGGCCCCCAAGCCCTGAAAGCCCGACGTCGGGCTGGGCTGGGCCGGGCTTTTGGGGGCCGGGTACCCGGGGCTTCAGGGCTTTGAGCCCGGCCTTGCGCAACACTACAGGCTCAGAACAGCGCACCCACAGACCGCCAGCTCCTCGAGGTCGGTTCCCTGCCCCCATCGCTTCCCCCGGTTTTCTCTTACATTGTTTCATTCTTATCACTACTCTTGTTCTAGACACCCATATGGGCCCAGGACTCCTCGCCGGCGCCCGGTCCCTCAAGGGCAGGGGGCATTAGGACTGACCATGCGTCGCCGACAATTCCTCAAGCCGACGTCGCAACGCGCTCAACATCTGTCATTGCATTGCCGGCCCTGCCCACCCGTCAACATGGTCCTACCGTGAGCAACATGAATATGAATAATCTGCGGCTTGCGGCCCCTGGAACGCTGCAACCTGCTGCTATTCCTGCTCCTGAGGTTCCCGCACCTGTGCCGGCTACACCCCTGGGCCCTCCGACAGGCAATGGGCTCGGGCAAGACACTACAGTCGTCAATGCTCTCGGGAACACACAAGACCTTGCACCTCCCCAGGACGCGACCCCTCAGCCTACGCCCGAGCCCCCCGTTGATCATAATCTCCTCCCATCTGCTTATTACACCATTGTCACAGCTGCGCCTGGTGCTCCCGTCCTCCTCAACCCGCAACACCTTCACATCCGTGCTATCATCCGTGCGACCATACCCCGCCTCGAGGTCTTCTTGCTCACCGAGCACGCCTTCCCCGACCACTTCACTGCCTCTCAGTTCATTCGTACGGCCCTTATTGAGGCCGCGCAGACCTTCAAATACCTCGGCCTCGGCAGACGTTTGAACGATGACCAGGAGTTCATCAATCCCCTGGTTGTCCTTGTGAGTAATATTCTCTTCGTTCATCTTCAAAGCTCACGCACGTTCTGTCTGTGCACTTCCGACCATTTGCACAGACTAAGCAGCGGATAAGTAGCTTCCGTAGCGTTGTCAAGAAGTGTGCACAGTCCAACGTCGTAGCTCACTACCCCCTTGCGACGTCCCCAGACACAACCGCCCTCGTCAATGGTCTCTTCGAATGGCTTACCTACATATACCCGTACACTGAGCAGGCAAGTACCACGGTCATTTCCTCCATTTTCATGGCTCACTTCTTTGTCTTCAATTTGCTTGTTCGCTATCAATAGAATGGCAAGCGGACCGTCCCCTGGAACAAGCCATATCTCAACGATTGTGTTGTGGCTGTACTGTGCGCTGCGTTCTTCACTGGCCCGCATTCCATTGTGAATGCGGCGCCAGCTATCTTCGCGTCGACACTTCCTCAGCGCCAGGATGAGTGCGAAGTGCCCATGGTCATGGTCGCACTTGTTGGTACCGCGGTATATGGCTTGAATATTTGCTTTGGTGCTCATTCTCTTGACGCTGATATTACTATACACCCCCAGATACATGCCGCGCTCTCAGATTGGAAATCCGGCCTCAACAAGTCGCAGCGATTCTCCACTGATGCCTATCTAGATGTTTATAATGAGCACATTGTACTTCTCAAAGGTATCAAGTCGGAGAATGCGCGGGGTTATCACATCATGATGCACCGCCTATTCACGCGCGCAATGTGGTACGTGTTTTCCCCAGTACCTGTATATCACTGAAGCTGATGATCTCTTGAAAAGTGACACAGTTATGCCCTTCCTACATCTCCCACACACGAACACCGCCCTCGCTCACGTCGACTTCGCGGCCATGGACGTCGACTAGTCCCTCCCCCTGGGCCGTTGCAGCTGGACGTTGTCTCACCGGTGATATATCCTATGCTTCATTGTCTCCCTCGTGCACTCCTCCATATCCCCCATTCTTTTTAACATGCCTCGTATTTATTGTGACGCATTTATTAGTGTCGCGGACATTCCTATGTAGTCATCCTTTTAATAGTGCCCTTCATAGTCGTTTAGACCATTCCCGCTACCAACCTCATATCTCGCATACCCTAGGACTCACATAGTAGCTAACGTGTCGCATCATACCCTGGTTGTGTAGTCGTGTCATTAGCAGTCGGGTGAAGCAATATAGCGCTATCCCTGCAAACATCTCACCGTGAATAATCGGCATCTATCGACGCACTAATTTGAAGCTAATGTAGATATAACATCTATTCACTGAACCTCATAGATTGAACTAACGGCCTTATAACCACACATAGCCGAACTTCATTAGTGGGGGGCTAATATAATCGAACTAATGAACTAATGCCGCTTTTTAGCTCTAAAAAAGCTCGCTTAGTTGGATTCGCGGGGGGGGGGGGTTTCCGTAATGAATGTGGATGGTACCTCAGATGAGTCAGATCGCTTATATTTCAAGCTAGCGGCGATAGACTCAGCAGACAGGATAATGATGCGACTCGGCGGACAGGATAATGATGCGACTCAGCAAGTCTCTGATGAAACTGCAAGGAATAATCACTATATATCTATCGTTCAGTTGCTGTGCAACTGCATCCACAGCCGGATTGAGGTCAAGTGTACTACTAATTGCAGAGGAAGTGACAGCTCCGACAGCGCGCGTTGACAAGTCGCAGCGTGTGACATCACACATTTTGAACTCCATGCTCACATAGCAGACTTGCGGTCAGCTGTGAACTTCCTCTTATACTCTGCTCTTATCTTCATTCACAAGCAACGGAGATGGCATGTCTCCCCGCTGTATGGCTTCCCTTTTACGGTGCCTGGAACAGATTATGTAGTTACGCCCTCCTCATTTCTTTACTTCTGCGGCTGCTCCGCTCCATCACTGTCTACGTTGGAAGCAATCTGACTGGTCTAGTGTATCATCCGTCTCACCAACGCCCCCTATGCTTGCATTTGCAAGTACGAGTGGAAGCTAACGAGGATAGACACTACTAGAGACGTTTCACGCTCAGTCATCAGCAAAAGTGTAAAAATATCCTACAGGATTGCGGACATTGCCTGAAGCGCCAGTTGTGGCACGGTCTTGCAATACCGGAAATGTATTCCGAGAGCGCGCAATACCAGCAATACCTCGCAATACCTGCGATAATGCGAAGTATTGCCCGGTATTGCTGATATTGCCTGGTCTTGTGGGATATTGCAAGGTCTTGCAATATATTTACGACATTGCAAGACCACCCATGACAGCGCATGATCTGACGTATATTGCGCGCTCTCGCTGAGTATTGCCTGAACGGGCAATACGGCAAAAGATTTTTACACTTTTGCTGATGGTCCAATCGCTGTAATCGGTTTATCCTCTGCATCGCTTACTTGCATGTCACCCATGTCAGCCCTTGGCGCTGAACATGCTCTTCACTTACAACTCCCAGTAATACAGGGAGTGTACCGTAAGCTATCAGTAACGAAAACCTTGAAGCTCCGTCGACACAGCTTAGGATACCACCTAATCCACAGTTTTTCCTAGTTCTACGACCAGAGAGAGCATCTCATCATGATACAAATTTAAATTGCACCGCTATCCTCCAGCGCCGCTGACAAGAAACTGGGTCTTGAAGTGGGGTGTCCGGGTGAGGAACCCCCTTGGTACCCGTCTCTGAGCTCAACACAACGGATCGTGCTATGATCAAGTATCAGGTTCATCAGTGAGTGCAGGCGGCATTGACACATTGATTGATCGGTCACGAGATCATCGTGGGACACGCATCAGATCTGTCTTTCCAGTGTCCTCATCATCTATCAAGCCAACGGGCACAGAATACTGCCTCTAACAGGTTTTCAAGTCCAGAGCTCAGCTGCCCCCCAATTATTGCCATCGCCTGCAGGGTTGTCTGGTAAGTTAGACTGTCTGCCATTCACAGCACTAGACACTCATGCCGTCATCCAGGCCGAAGTGCAAGGTCTGATGATGACTGGCTGAGCCCATAGGCATAGCCACAAAATTCAAGCGGAATGGAGTCACATTTGATGGCTACGCAATCAGGAAAGCCTGGAACGACGTAGTTTGAATCTGTCGATACATAGTCTATGCGAGAAAGCTCTATGGCATGGGACAAGCGCAGAATCTCATGACCGGTGTTGGAGAAGGACATGCCAGTTTTACATCACCTTCTGAGAAGATATTAAGGATCCAAAGCAGAATAATCAATTCGCACCGCAACTGTGCCAAGCTATGGGTTTTCTCTGAGAGGAGACGCTGTGTCTGCCACCAGCAAGGATTCCTCAACTCGATACTTGTGGCATGGACAAGGTATGGTTAGAAGCTCCTAGTCTACGTCTGACATTATCGATGCCCGGGCTATTCTTTCTGTAACACTTACTGACAGAATGTGACTCGGTCACAAGGACATGATCAGAGAAGCAGCCTAGGGCTACGGTAATTGTGACATTGTGTCAAATTTGATACTGATGATTTTGTGCCGAAGCACCAGGGAAAGACTCTTACCATTCCTTTCAGAAGTTGCCCTGTGCTCCCGTACATATATTAGGTCTCTCTGCCATCCTGCCCTAACACATCACCCCGTCTTACACCTTCCGCCACTAGCGACCACACGAGATCGTTCTCATGTCAAGCTCGATAGTCACGTTTGATACATCTGGGTGGGACATTATCACTGCTCACACTACAGGAGCGATAAGGCAGATCGTCTTGTCTGCTGCACTATATGGTCGTTCAAAGCTGACTACTAATCCCGCTATCTGTCAATATAACTAACCGAGTTGGGTTTCAGGATGCTTCACAATTCTGGTCCTCGTGGTGTTTATGTCTCTGTTGAAGTAAGCCTGCCGCTTTCTACATCCACAATCCCTACTCAGTTGCTTAAACGCTCGCATTTATCCGAAGGCAACGGCATACTCATCCTTTCACTACCGCTGTCCTCGGTTCGACCCTCGTTCTGCTCTATGCATCCATCACAACGGCTGTCATCATCACTGTTCTAGAAATGCAGGCCATTATTCTTGTCAATATAATCAAGTCGGTGACGATTCTCTGGGATCCCAAGATTACTGCAAGCTCCCCACCGTCAATTGCAGGCCCGTTTGCCTTGGGTCCCGGAAACTATGGATCCTGTGCAAATACGGCGGCACTCACAGTCAACGTACGTCCTGGTCTTCTGACCACACCGTATTCTGTAACAACACTTTCACATTTCTCCTAGATACTCTTGAGTGATTTGATTGTGTGTTGGCGAGCTTTGTTGCTTTGGCCAGGGAACCGTGTAAGAGTTTTCTCCATCGTACTGTTGCTGACAACCTTTGGTGAGCCTGCAATCATATAGCAATTACTATGCATTCTCATAATCGTTGTCTCCGGGGTCATCAGCTCTGGGAACAGTGGATATTACACTTTTAGGCTCCCCCCTCCATTTGGATTGTTGAACAGGCGCTGGTCTACACAGCTTGCCTAACACAGCCGTCACAAGATATGGAACGGCACAGCCGGTTACTGCAATAACCGAGGCTATACTACTCATGTGGTACACACACAGCTTCGCTGTGTACACACTGCTTCTCTGTGCGACTGTGCATCCTGGGAATGTACTGTATAGTACTACGTAGCCACAGATGTACAGTAGTATATATAGGGGACCTCTGTACCCCCAATCTACAGTTCAGTTCACTCGAACATCTCCTCTCATCGCTCTAACAAGCCTCTTACAACCAACAACCCTTCTAGGTGAGTTGCAGGCTATCCGCTGTCGTTGCCACCCGTGGGAGAGGCCTTCGCCCCCCGGGTTCAACAGGTTATGAGCCCTGCTCGACGCTGCAGAATCTGCGCCGCTCACTGCGTGCTGCGATCTGTAAGCTCGCAGCTCACCTGGATCTTTTGCCATCGTTATCAATGTGTAACCGCTGCTTGGATCTGGCGCGATCATACGCTGCCTGCCATGCATGCGCTGTGGACTGTTGTGGCGCGC